AATATCTTGTAGACACTAGTGAATTATTTAAAACTGAAGGCATAAAAGTGCAAAATTCATGGGTAGATGTCATAACTTCACAATCAAGCACCCATGAAGAGTGGGGTGAGTTTGTTTAAAACCCTAACACATCCAGTGCTGATGTGCAAACTATTGAAACTGTCACAAATTGTCAAAACAATATTTGCACTGCTTATGTTCATAATCCAGACAGAAAAAAAGACACTGAAGGATTGTTTCCTGTTAAAATGTTACATATATGAGATGAAGACCTTATTTCTATAAACATGCTCAACTAATGGCTGTTTTATGCACTTTTCAACTAAAACACCTTACAAATGGAACACTTCTTACAGTTAAGTTCCAAAAGAGGCAAAGTACAGCACTTCATAGAATAATTACCACCTACCATGAGGTAGCTCGAAGGAGCCTTTGATTTAACGAAGAATAGTGAGCAGGAAGACTTTGTGTAGTTGTAAGCTTTTTCGTTTATTTCCGACGTGTTTGGTCTCTGCCGGTCTGAGACTTCTTCAGGGAATGATTACAACTAACATTGAACAGTATATAGAGCACCTAAGTGTGCGTAAGTTCAACTTCCCATGGAAGTGAATAACTGCTGAAACATGCTGTAAACAGACGTTACAAGAAACGCCTTAATGCATATGTATGTTATTAGCGCTAATTGTATGGCCCCCCCCAAACATACTATTTACATATTAGATGTGCTTAAGTAGTAGTAGATTTATAACTGACAATACAGTCTAAGTCTGGTAAATGTCCCTGGATAACCAGCTTGATGTTAGTGGTTCTGAGTTAAACCATTTATTCAAACTTGAAATGAACAGCAATCTCTAGGACGAATTACAACCATAAAAACTAGTAAACAACATCTCCACATGGTGGCAAAACATCCACTAAGCGTTCAAAGTCCTGTGACCTAAGTATTCGCACTTTTTGAGTACACTATAACAAAATGTCCTTCACATCAGTTGGCACTACTACAGTTAAATGTAGATTTAAAGACTACCATTCTACCGTTGCCCGAGTCACGTTTTAGCGAAAGCCATTCAGTTCTGTTACTGTATTTAACCTCCCTGAATAAAGAAAGTAAACACCCAACTGGGTAACCGAGAAGCTGGAGGTGCTTCCAGAATTTCTCATGTTTCGCTAAAGGCTTTAAACGTGCAGCTATTTCTAGTATAGCACAATTATGCTCGCCTCTAATTAAGGCCCTCTTGTTGCTCGTGAACGAAAGCTCTCTCTAAAATATGACTACAACAGAGTTTAGAATCCTATGGCTTACACTTCAGAACTGTTATATTACTCACATCATTAAGAAACTTCCCAACAGTCAGTTACACAACAAGTCTTGTTGTGTAACTGTAGCCATATTCATAGTAACGCAATGATTTGTTGTGTGTTTACATGGGTGAGAATTGAGGAAACATAAACACCTTCTTCGGCTATATTAGTTTAAACCAAGTTATTTCTGCAGCCCAAAATTAGGACCTGCTGATACATGTTTGGTTTCGTTTACATTTCAATGGACATCGTAAATTCTTTGTAGAACATCAAAACAACAGCTCATGGAATTCAATATCCTCGTCGAAAAATTCGAAGTTTCATCAAATATGCATCCGTTCAATACTTTTTCTTTGGCAGGTGGTAAGAGTTCCACTGGTACTGTGCCACTTCATTGAGCTGCTGAGCCCTGCCAAGGCTATCTTTGGTTAAGTTTTAAGCCTTTCTTTGTATTAAGCCAATTTTTAAAAACCTTGGTGAGATATTGAGATAAAACCTATTGGTGAGATATTTCTAAACTCATTGCAAAGTGTTGTTGGATAGTGATAGAAATAGCGCTGTATAAATTAAGTATTATCATTATTATTATCATTATCATTATCATTATTATTATTATTTAAATGGTCTAGCAAGGACTGGAACAAACAAATTATATTTGTGAATTAAATTAGGCCAATATTACTTAATGTTTTTTTAAATATCTTGACTGGTCAGAAACGAGACGTGACCGAGCTAAAAATCAATTACTTTGGCCAGTCAACATGACTGACCATGGTCCGAAAATTATTTTGAGCCCTGGAATGATACCCTTGAGTCAACCCTTTCCTGCATCTTCTTGTTTCTAGAAACTGCATTTTCTGCAAAAAACACTGTCTCCGTCATTGACTGCCTGCTTAAAAATAGCAGACAATGTTGACACACATTCATCAATCAATCAATCAATCAATCCTTTATTTGTTAGAGCAGGTTTATAATTACAAGATTATTCATGTGTGCTTTGTCCATTTTCCTCAACATTTAGTGATTCCTTCCTGTTAAAACAGGTGAGAAAGCCTGGTTAAAGGTTGCATCAATAACTTGTGGGACCTTGATGTTGTGGAATGTTATCTTCCCATTATCTTCCCACAACTACATACAACTCCCTCTAGCAACACTATTGTTAGTTTCAAATGCAAACTCTTTTTGACAAAAAAAGATCATCAACACAGAACCTTATGAGGAGGGTGAAATATTTGTTTTGTGTCAATTTATTGAACTTTGCATTATTAAAGTTCTTCTTCTCATTATAAAATGTAAATGTTAAGATTCGACCAATTTCTCATACCAGATTCTCCCAGCATCTTGAAGCAAGTCCTTTTCTCAGTCTAACTATCCACTTCCCTCCATGCTTGTTTGCCTCATCCTGCAAAAATCAAACAGCCTGCACTCAGACTTGGGTAGGTGCAGGCTTCTCAAGAAAATAGTGAAAAGAAAAAAAGACTAACAACTTCTTAGGCTAAATAGTTCTCTTCTTTAAGTGAGTGGCTTTTCAGGGTTTATAAACCAACATTAGAAAGAAATAATAGTAACACTGTAAATAAAACTAACAAGTCAAGAATTCTAACTGGCAGGAAACGGACCAGTTGGGTGTTTTACGATAGTAAATAATCAGTACACATAAAACTTAAATCTTCCTTCACACTACTCCAGCTCTGCAGCTAAACACTGCTTCTCCAGACATATTATGGAGTATTATGGACACATTCCAAGCCAGGTACAAACTCTTTGACATGACCAGTAACATGGGGGAATTCACTTATAGAGGAGCTCCTGCACGCGAGTGGAGCCCCATACCTTAGAAAATTTAGAAACCCATTGATCTCAAAAATTTTGGTCATCATATGACTGTCCATACATCCATACGTCCGTATGTCTGTATGTCCGTACATCCATACGCCAAGCCCAATACCTTGAAAAATAAGAGTAGCACCATTACCATAGGTATATCTTTGATATTAGACATCCATATTAGGCTTAATTGACAGCTGTCAAATCAAGGTATCTGCTGACCAGTATCATGTGACCATATCACGGGGTCAGGTTTAGTGCTTATTGAGGTCACGTTTTTTGAAGTTGACCGCTGACCAGGTACTGGTTTTCGATTGGATCGCAGGCTCAAGTCAGGTTATTTCTCTGGGGGAGATGGAGGGAGTAAGTGCAAAGACAAAATTTTGGTGCAAATTAACCCCTGGCTCATTGTTGACTTTTCTTCTGACATGTTTCTTGCAGAATTGTCTCTTGGGAAGTCCCTGATATATTGCATACGTAATTTCTACAATCTTGGCTACACTTATTGGGTATAATTTGTTAAATTTAAACGGAAAAAATAGCAAAACCACACACTGAAAAATTACATGCTCACAAATGATCATTTTTTGAGTTTCTGATTCAAAAAAAAAAAATCTCTTTTCCTTTATGGTTAATTATTGTAATCAGGAGCTCTGCTTTTAGGTTTGGCTAAATCTATAGATTATCTGCTTGCTCTCATTCTGCATCCAGCATATCCTTGTTGGTGCATCGTAGTAATGTAGTGTTACATGTTGATACTCTCTCTTATTATTAACAAAAACCCTCAGCCCCGACTAAGAAAACATGTGGTTGCTGGATAGTGAATAACCACAATGGTGCAAAAAGAGTTCTGAAGTTTTTGTTTTATTGCACAGTATTCTTTAATATTTTAATAGTGCTTGACATGCATGTTCTCTGCACCATTGCTCACATCATTGCAAAGGTGGACAGCCTGCAACTTGCTACGTGCAATGTTGCACAAAAAGTTCAGCATGCGTCCAGGCATTTAGGCATCGCACATACTGTATGTGGTCATTTAGTTTAAATACATGTACACCAGTTTTTGCCGTGATGATTTGTTATGTCAGAACCCTTTTCTATGCCGGAAGTCACATATTCTCTACCTTTTCTTACATGTGTGGCCTCAAAAAGGGAACCTCTTTAGGGCCCAGCAGCTTCATATACATGTAATTGATTACAGGAGGTACATGTAGACGTGTAGGGTATGGGTTCTATGTTGAGCATACAATGAAATTGGTTAAAAAAATTGTTTGGTGTTGAAGATAAATTTGGGTAAAAAAATTATAAAACATTAACAATATCTAATTAAGATGAAATTAATTTTTGGACAATAACATGAAAAGAAATGATAAACTCGCTATTGTGCTCTTCCAAAAAGCTATATATGTCACCTGTCACCCATCATTAACATTGTTTCTATTTGGAACTAGTTTTCTGAATCACCAGTGGCACAGCACTATCTCAACTACCACACGAAACTGATGGCTGTTCAATGAATAACATGGAATAACTGTTAATTACATGTATAATTCTAGGCTGTTCGTTCAAAGCACTTTACCTGGTCCAATATAATATCATGAAGAGTTTGGGACCACTCTTACCTCCCACATGGGTTTAATCCCATCCTTAAATAGATGAATGTCACTATGCCCTGATAAATCGCCTGGCCTCACAAAGTAACTGTAAAATCCCCAAAACTGTTCAACCTGGCAAAATGAAAATTACATGATTATACAGTGTGTGGTACATGTTATTAGCAAGACTAAGCAAACAGCAATTGCTCTTGTTTCTGTTAATCTCTCCTCACATAATTTGTCAATTAAATACACCGACAGTATTAAAAATTATCACCGACACTCGCAACCAAAGCAACCAAAAAATATTTTCAAATGATTTTCAAAAAATGCAAATGACAGACTGCAGAAGTGTAATTCTACATGTAGTTGATTGGAGATAAAACAAAATGAATGTTTAAGGTTACGGTATACCTTCAGGGGTGTCTTGCGTGCAAGCGATGTAGCGCGTAGAGTTTAAGCGGTAGATACCTAAACCCCTATATCAAATTAAAGCTTATAGAGCTGGCTATCAAACTATTCCAAGAATTTTTAAATAAAATGAATTGTCGAGTTTTTCACAACCACTAAATGCAAGCGCCCGAATCACCTTGTGAGCTACAAGTCAAAGTGATTTTTGTTTTTCGCCAATTTCATTTTTTCCTCGGTTTCAGGGCCCAAAGCGCTTAAAAAA